CAGTGAATGGGGGTCCCTGGACCCTGAGTGGGGGCCGTCCAGATCCCAGAGGGAGGGGAGAGTGTGTGGGGTGCTCTGCTGTCAGGGTCAGCTATGGAGAGGCTGGAAGGCAGCCTGAGGAGGAGCAGCTCCCACTGCTACCGTGTGCCAAAGGCAGCTGTCCCCACCCCAAAATGGACACGTGGGGCTTGGACCTCACAGGGAGGCTGGGTGCTGGCACTCAGTGGGTGCCCTGACGTGTTAGAAGCAAAGCAAAGGAGAAGGTGGGAGAGGGCCTGTGTCCTGGGGAATGCTCTTCCCTTAAAGCAGGGGTTCCTCTCTTTTTATTGGCCACGAGCCCTCTAGCAATCTGGGAGGAGCTCCTGGACCTCTTCTCAGAATGTTTTTAAATATACAAAATATATGGGATTTCAGAGGAAGAAAATTTTATTGAGAAAGCTATCAAAATACCAAAAAACAAATTGGTGACGTAGTAATACATCTCCTTAGTTATTATTGCATTAGCAAGATCGTCCATTAGGTAAATTAAGGTTCAATTTTACTTTTTAAGGACACTTCAGTGACACGGCTGTTGTTCAGCTTTGGTGTGGACATTAAGCTGGGGCGTGCCTGGCATGACAGACTCCCAGGCGACTGTGATTGTTTGGATGGTCCCGGGTGTTGAGAGCCCCACTTTGCAGATGGAATGCAGTTTCCTTATAGCTGGCTCCATGCGGTGAGGATGGGCTGCTCCCTGGGATCATCAGACTTCTCCATGCTCATCGAGTTAAGCTCTGTTGTGAGAACCTGGGATCCTACCGTAGGGGCCCAACACCACCAGGCACAGAGTTGCTTGAAGTGGGCCAGTCGTGTCACTCCCGGTCTGTGGGCAGGGGACCGGGTCTGATAATTGCTGTGCTTTGAAAGGAGGGGTGATAGGAAGCCACGTTTCCAGATACCTGCACAGCTGCCCTGACATGTGAAACAGCGGGGAGCGCTATGGCGACCACGTCCCGGGTCTGCGACTCAGCAGGGCAGCCTTTGCTCGTGATTGAAGGGAATGCGAACTTTCGGTTAGAAGTTAGGACACTACGGGTATACCTATTTACAAACCCTCCAGGCTCGTGGACACCCCATCTTCCGGTCTAGTCTGATCCCAATCCACCCTCCCCACTCTCCCCCAGCAGGGGCTTGAGCACTAGGGACCCCACCACCACCCCCGCCCTTGCTGACCACCATCCCTGGTGGTGGATAGCAGTGATGTGACGACTAGGTTGCTAATCTTAGGAGCCAGATCCATTTGAAGCTGGAAGGGGCTTTCAGATCCAGAGAGGGGAAGGAAGGTGCCCCAGGCCCCACAGCATGTGGCCAGCAGGATGAAGGTCCCTGTGCTGGCGAGGCTCCCCCTGGGCGGAGTTGAGAGAAGTTTCAGGGGAGCTGCCGAGTGAGAAGCCTGGGGACGCTGGGGTCTTGCCCTCCTCTAGACATTTTGGAGGCAGGTCAACCTTCAAAGGGTTCTGTCCTCCCCTGCTGCAGCCTGCAGCTGTGCACATCTGTCCTGTCTCCCTGCTGCCCTCAGGGACCGGCTGGGGCCTGTCATCGCCTGTGGAGCCCGTGAGAGATGAGGGTGGTGGAGCTGGAGCTGTGGGGGAAGTGAGGGGGAGGAGAGTGGAGGTGTCAGGCCCAGCCCAGCCCAGTGGGAGCAGGGCTGGCCTTAGCCTGGCGGCTGGAGCCAGCTGTCGCCTCCTCAGGCCTTCCCATGTCTTGTTTGTCAGGCCTCCTTCGTGACACCCGAGCCCTGTTCTTGAGGAGGCTGTTCCACCCAGGCCTCCTGGGCCCAGACTGCTGCGAGAGGTCTGGGAACTTTGATGAGCTGGGTTGGGGGCCTGCCACAGCAGGTGAAGTGGAGAGAAGGTTCTGGCTCTGCTGTCGGAGCTCCACTGTGGAGCCCTCACCTTCTCTGAGCAGCCTGTTTCTGTTTAGGAACAGAGACCCATTCCTTCCGCCTTTGACCAAAAGAACAAGAGAGAGAGAAATTGGACTGGGTGTGGAAAGTTACGATGGGGCTATTATAAACACAAGGTATGCATGTTAACAAAGCTGTCACATGGCTACTGGGAGTTTTCAAGGGTGACAAGGCTGGACGGGAGGGAGTGAGGGAGCCCTTTCCAGACTGGAGAGGGAGAGGGATGGGTGGTGGTTTGGGAAGGTTCTGGGAGGTGTGGATGGGTCTAGTCATTCTGTCTAGGTGGCTCTGGGGAGGGGGAGCCTGAGGACACAACTGTCGGGGAGGCCTGGGGAGCCGCCTTGGGACCGGGAACTGACTCAGGGTCTGGGGGAGAGAGGATGCAGTGAGCTCAGCCTTCAGACTGACCTCTCACCCTGGCTTCGTGCTGAGCCCTGGCTCCACCGTCCCCTTCCTGAGCTGCTGCTGCTGGTTGTGAGAGAGCCGGGGCGTGGTGGGGGAGTGTGGATGTTTGGAGCAGAGTCCCCACTGACGTGGAGTAGCTCGTGCCCGGCTGGAGGCAGCTAGGGGAGTTGTCATGTTCTAAGGACTGCTTATGTCCCTGTGCTTCTGCAGAGCGCACCCATCTCAGGGTATGGGCAGAGTTGGGGCAGGCAGGGCAGGCTGCTCCCTCCCCGTCTTGATCCTGGACTGTCAGTGCCATATGGGGCCAGCAGTTACTGAGCTCTCAGAAGGTTCTGTGAGCCTCTGTCTTCCATGCCTTTCGCCCTTCTCTTGGGTCTGTGTGGAATTCCAGCCCCTTCCCTTCCCAGCAGCCCTGACTCTCGGACTCTTGAGCCAATCCTCCCCACACTCTCCAGCAGCTCTTAAAGGTCTCCTGCTTGCTTCCCAGCCATTTTCTTATTTGTTTTAAATAGGCCTTAACTGTATTACCCAGTGTTCAGAGGAGGAAAATAAGAAAATACCGATAAGCAAGTAGGAGAAAATAAAAATTATCTATAATCTCATCACTTGGTGATAACTCACATTAGCATCTTGTCGCAGATCCTCTCGTACTTTTCTTCTGGTACACTGTCATGAAGTAATGTGGGATTATAGCCTGCACTTGTCTTGAAACCTGCTCCTTCCATTCCTATTTCCTAGATGTCTTTCCAATTCAGTCAATATGATATTTTTAATGGCTGTTTAATATTTCACCTTAGAGACATCCCATAATTTATTCAACAGATCCCCTGTTGTTAGCTGGAGGTTGTTTCCAGTGTTTTGTTATTATAAACAACACTTCGATCAACAAAATACCCTTGTAGTCTACTTTTTTGCATACATTCTTAAGTATTTCCTGAGGAGAGAGCCCTACAAGAGGAATTGCTGAGTCTACGAGGATGTCTAGCATGCCTCAAGAGGGGCAGAAGCTTTGGCTGTTGATGCTGTTGATGTTGGTGATGATGATGCTGATGTTGATGATGTTGATGGTGATGATGCTGATGAGGTTGATGTTGATGAAGTTGGTGATGATGATGATGAGGTTGATGAGGTTGATGTTGATGAGGTTGGTGATGATGATGATGAGGTTGATGTTGATGAGGTTGATGTTGATGATGAGGTTGATGAGGTTGATGTTGATGGAGTTGATGAGGTTGATGTTGATGAAGTTGATGAGGTTGATGTTGACGATGTTGATGAGGTTGGTGATGATGATGATGAAGTTGATGTTAGTGAGGTTGATGTTGATGAGGATGATGATGAAGTTGATGTTGATGAGGCTGAGGTTGATGAGGTTGATGTTGATGAGGTTGGTGATGATGATGAGGTTGATGTTGATGAGGTTGAGGTTGATGATGTTAATGTTGATGATGTTGATGGTGATGATGTTGATGATGTTGATGAGGTTGATGATGATGATGATGAAGTTGATGTTAGTGAGGTTGATGTTGATGAGGATGATGATGAAGTTGATGTTGATGAGGTTGAGGTTGATGAGGTTGATGTTGATGATGTTGATGGTGATGATGTTGATGATGTTGATGAGGTTGATGATGATGATGATGAGATTGATGAGGTTGATGTTGATGAGGTTGAGGTTGATGATGTTAATGTTGATGATGTTGATGATGATGATGTTGATGAGGTTGATGATGATGATGATGAGATTGATGAGGTTGATGTTGATGAGGTTGAGGTTGATGATGTTAATGTTGATGATGTTGATGATGATGATGTTGATGAGGTTGATGATGATGATGATGAGATTGATGAGGTTGATGTTGATGAGGTTGAGGTTGATGATGTTAATGTTGATGATGTTGATGATGATGATGTTGATGAGGTTGATGATGATGATGATGAGATTGATGAGGTTGATGTTGATGAGGTTGAGGTTGATGATGTTAATGTTGATGATGTTGATGATGATGATGTTGATGAGGTTGATGATGATGATGATGAGATTGATGAGGTTGATGTCGATAATGTTGATATCCAGTTTAGGGGCCGGTGCTTTCTTTGAAACCTTGATCTGCTGAGAGCTCACCCAATCTGGACTTCCCTGGCCTCATTTTGTGACATTCATGGCTAGAATGTCCTCCTGCATCCTATGCCCTTCCAGAGCCTTCAAATCCAAACCTGACTTCCCTCTGCATCTGCCCCTGGTTCCCACTCAGGTGACAGTCTCCCACTTCTCCAAGTCTGGAAGGCCTGGCCTCCATGTGGCTTGACCCAGTCGCTTAGAGCCCTAGGACTCAACCTGGTTTGGAGGGGTAACTCTTTCCTAACTGTCTTATTTTTGCCAGATGAGTATAAACTATAGGGGGTCAGGGGCTGTGTCTTCATGTCTGTGTCCATAACTCCCCCAAAGCATCAGTAGAGGGCCCGTGGTAGGCACACAGCAAACATGTGGTAGGTGGCAGACTTGCCCACTCTCTCCAGCTACAGGGCAGCTGGGCCTCTCTGGGCCTCAGACTTTGCATCTGTACAGTGGGGGTGAGGGGTGGGCTGGGTCCCTTCCTGCCATGGCTTTTCCCACCCCCTCCTTCACTGCATGCCTCTCACTCCACAGGTTGTGGGTCCTGAGGCTGCCGGCAGAATATGGGTACAACGGCCAGCACGGCCCAGCAGACGGTCTCAGCGGGTGCCCCCTTCGAGGGCCTCCAGGGTGGCAGCACGATGGATGGGCGGCACTCTCTCAGTGTCCACTCCTTCCAGACCACGGGCTTGCACAACAGTAAGGCCAAGTCCATCATCCCCAACAAGGTGGCCCCCGTCGTGATCACGTGAGTGGCAGGGGGTACGTGACCATGTCCTTGAAAGATAGGACTAGGGGAGCTGCCTGGAGGGTGGTGGCATCAGTACTTAATGTCTACAAACTGTTTTCATAGATGAAGACATTGAGGCCCAGAGAGGTTAAGCAGTTTGTCTGCAGTCACACAGACAAACTAAATGGGAATCTTAGCCAGTGTTACTTACCATGTCCACAGTGCTAAGGAGTGTGAAGATTGGGGGAGTGGCTGGGGGGACACCCTTTTGAAATAATTTTTGGCTGAACATTTTCAAAGGAAGTCTATATACTTAGAGGCATAAAATTTAGATTTTGTTTTTCACAACCAGTAATTATGGTTTGAAACAGAGGTTAACACCAGGCCGTTAAAGAGCCTTGGGCTGAAAAAGCTGGAAGCTGTTGGTGGACTATCCTGATTAGGTCCTTCAGGGACATCCCGAAGGAGGCCGTGGATTTATTCTGGCATCGTATTTTGAGAGACCTTGACACACTGTGTGCCCAGAGGAAGAGGGTCAGGAAGGGCCCTCAAAACCCTGTCTGCCCTGTGGGGCCAGTGAAGGAGCGGCTGCTGGGGAGCCTGAGGCCTGAAAGATGGAAGGCATGTGGGGTCCATCTCCTGGCAAGTCGGGAAGCCTCGTCTTTCATCTAATCGGCCCGCCACGCTCCCCTGCCTCTGGGCCCCTCCAGGGCGCAGGAAGTAGGACACGATGAGCCAAGAATTAAATATGTTCCACACATAGAAGTTTGGCAGAGACGTAGCAGATGGGACCTCTGTGTCAGGAGACCTGAGGGGTGGGAGTGATCAATCCGGCCTGCTGGCTTCGGGGCCTGGCGCGAAAACTGTAATCATGATACATCACTGTGCTCATGATAAGTGGAGGCGAAGAGATCTTACATAAAAGGAACTTGATATGTAGACTGTCCACTAGCGATGACAGAACTAGGTTTGGACCTCGAGGGCAGCAGTGGAGACGCATGTCCCGGACCTGGCTCGGCCTCTCCCTTGCTCTGTGACCTTGGGCAAATCCTTTTCCCTCTCTGGGCCTCAGTCTCCTTATCTGGATATGTGGGGATGACATTCAAAATATCTAACTGTGGTGTGGCTCAGAACAGTCAGCAGCCTGCTGTGAAAATCTGCTGCGATGGTACTGTGCGTGCCTCCCGGGGCCAGCTGTGGGCGCAGTGCCCCTGTGCTGTAGTGTGCTTGGGGTGGAAGGGACCTTAGGGATCACCCAGCACAGAGACTGGCAAACTCTATCCTGCAGGCCAAATCCAGCCTGTCACGTTTTTGTAAGTAAAGTTTTATTGGAACACTGTCACTACCATTCATTTACATGTTGTCTGTGGACGCTTAACACTTCCAACTACAGAGTTGACTCATTGCGACAGAGACCGTATGGCCAACAAAAGCTTAAAATATTTACTATCTGGTCCTTTATATAGAGGTTTGCTGGGGCCACCCATGCAAAGTGGCATAGTGGTTAAGTTCACTGCAGTCTGCTTTGGCGGCCCGGTTTCACGGGTTTGGATCCTGAGCGTGGACATACACCACTCATCCAGCTATGCTGTGTGGGCGACCCACATATAAAACAGAGGAAGATCGGCACAGATGTTAGCTCAGAGCCAATCTTCCCCCCCTCCCCCCAAAAAAAAGAAAGAAAGAAAAGAAAACAAAAGAAAGAAAAGGTTTGCAGATTTCTGATCTAATACCTTGTAGATCAGATGTGAAAACTGATTTAGCTAAGTAAACTGAGTTTCACGGAGGTAGAAGGATTTGACGATCACAGTCCTGTGGTGAGAAGGAGGCAGAGCTGGCCGTGGGAACGCAGGCCTCTTGACTCCTTGTCTAGTGCTCTGCCCCACCATTTCACCACCCTGTCTTTCTTTTGTTAAGAGGATCAAGCATGAGATCAGGAGCTCTGGGAGCCTGTGTCTTATTTGCTGTTATAATCAACACAGTAGCTTTTTGTGTCAGGAGTGCACGGACCTCCCCCTGGTTTAGCATCTACAGAAGTCTGGAATTTTACCTGTGGGTTTTGTTTGAAATGGCCCCGTGTGAAGGTAGAACTCTGCTAGTCATAATAATTGCGTTAATAGATGCCCACCGTGCCCTGGGCCAAGGCACTGGGCTGTGCATGGATGTTCCTTAGCCCACTGAGTTCTCATGACAGCTCTAGGAGGGGAGACTCACTGGTAACGGAGCCACGGAGAAAGCGAGTGACTCCGAAGCCATGGCCGCCATGTGGTGGGGCTGGGCCTCATTCCTAGGCCATGCAGCCCTGTAGCCTATTCTGATCACCTCCCTGTGCTGTGGGACTGTCATGTGGGGTTGTTCTCAGGGACAATCTGATGGAGGGATCATCCAGGACCAAAGTAACCCCTAAACAGGATGCCCTACACAAGACAGAAGCTTCTCTCCACATGAAAGTCCAGGAGGTGCCACGGGCTCAGCCCCCCATGATCAGCCCCGTGATCAGCCAGGCTCCTCCCCTCATGTTGCCCTGCCACCCACCAACATCTACTTCCTGCCATCACTTCTGGATGGTAGCCAGGGAGAAGAAGAAAAAATAACGACACACACCTTCCCTTAAGGGGAATGGCCCAGAAGTTGCACACATCACTTCTCCTCATGTCCCATTGGCCGGAACTTAATCACATGACCATGCTAACTACAAGGGAGGCTGGGAAATGTAGTCTTCAGCTGGATGGCTCATCAACATTCGGGGTTTTATTGCTGAGGAAGGAGTGGAGAGTGGATCCTGGGGGACAGTGAGCAGTCTCTGCCACAAATGGGTGGCTGCAAGGGCAGGGGTGGGGTGTCCCTGCTGTGGGTGTGGTGAGGTGGAGAGGACCGTGGCCGTGGAGGTTGCCTGACTGGGTCTCCATTCTGCCCCCGCAGCTACAACTGCAAGGAGGAGTTTCAGATCCACGATGAGCCGCTCAAGGCGCATTACACCCTGGGCCGGCTCTCGGACACCACGCCCGAGCACTACCTGGTGCAGGTGAGCTCAGGCCCAGCCTCTCCCCGGCCTCTCCTGCCCTCCTGCACTCCTGCACTCCTTCCTCACAGGGCCCCTCCCTTACCTCCTGCTCGCCCTGTCTGCTCCCTGGGCTCTCTCCTTTACAGCCTCACCCGATCCTCTGGGGTCCTGGCCCTGCTTCCTGTTGCCCCTGGTTCCCGGGGCCTCCTGTGGCGCGCCCTGCTCTTCTCTCCTCATGCAGCCCTGCCTGGCCCAGCCTCCCACACCTCCTCCGTCAGAGCAGCAAGCAGAGCAGAGACGGGGGCCTGAGGTCCCCAGGCCCCAAACTGCTTCCTCCAGGCTGGGAATCTCCATCTCATTCTTTTTTGAAGTTTCAGAACGTCTCTGGCTTAGCTAGTATTGGTATTTTTTTTTTTTTTTTGCCTTAAATATCCCCAAGGCAGTAAAGTCCACGAGGACAGATGACTTGGGTCCATTTTGCTCACTGCTGGGGTCCCAGGCCCTAGAGCATCACTTTGGCGCCATGTAGGTGCTCAGTAGGTGTTCACTGAATGGATAATCGTGAGGATTGAACTGTCCTTGTTGAAAGAGTGGCTGGGAATTTCTGGTGTCAGAAGAACTGGTCCCATTTGTCATCTGCCTGGCAGTGTAGGTGGCGGTGCTACTGGAGGCGTGGGGGCGGACAAGATGACTTTAGGGTTCCCCTTTGCCCAGAATGAACTCTTCTGGTTCCTCCTGCTCTCCCCTGATCCCTGAGTAGTGTTTTCCTCTTTTCTCGGTAGTTGTTGCATCTGCTCACCCCAGCTGGGAGGGCGGGACCTGCCCTTCCTCAGAACTGTGGCCCTAGGAAGTAGCTAGCACAGTTTTCCTCTGGTTCATTCCTGGTGCCCCAGCAGTGACTCCCTATTCCATGTGCTTCCTCTGGGGGCGAGAGACATTTGCTTCCTCCTGGGGGGGCTGTGGGCCCACCCTAGAGCCAGCTTCAGTTTCCTGCCCCTGGAGTGCTCCCTGCTCTCTTTCTTCAAGACCTGTCTCAGGTACCACCTCCTACGTGAAGCCTTCTCTGTTTCTCCGTTGGTAGGATTGTCTTTCCTTTTCCTGAACTCTGTGACATCCTTCCCAGGATCACAGATGGTCACATACTTTGTTTGTTTTTTTCCTTGAGCCTATGGACAACTTGGGGACCATGTCCCTGACCCACTCTCCCTGCTCCCTGGGACCTGGGATAGAGCCCTGCCGGTAGAAGGTGTCCCTGAGTCATCTAACTGAACCTCTGTGGCTCTTCCCCCACTAGGGACGCTATTTCCTGGTGCGGGATGTTGCTGAAAAGATGGACGTGCTGGGCACTTTGTGGAGCTGTGGGGCCCCCAACTTCCGGCAGGTGCAGGGTGGGCTAGCCGTGTTCGGCATGGGACAGCCCAGCCTCTCAGGGTTCAGGCGGGTCCTCCAGAAACTCCAGAAGGATGGACACAGGGTAAGCAGGCCACTTCCCAGCCCCCCAAATTTGGGAAAAGGGGCTCCTGGGAGGGACAACTTCAGAGGCTCTGCAGGGGCCTGGCCACATGCTGGGGAGGGCAGCTGGTGGCCTGGACCAGGCCTGCCAGGCCTTGAATGTGTGACGGTCATTGTGGTTGGCATGGCTGGGAAGTTCTGGGCAAACGTTTATTGCATAGTCCTGTGGGGACGTGGAAGCTCTGAGGTCAGAAGCCCCTTTTACATTGCACTCTGAGAATCTGGGAGGAAGTGAGGAGAGTGACAGGGTGACAAGAGGGGCCAGATCATAATGAGAGAGCCACAGGGTGATGATCACAGCCAACACTTATATCCTCACGTCAACCCTATAAGAGCGTGGCAATTATTCTCCCATTTTACAGAAGAAGAAACTGAGGCCCAGAGAGAATAAGTGACTTGCCAAAGGTCACACAGCTCATTTGTGGTGTCCCGAGACCTAAACCCAGGCAGCTGGACTTCAAGTGCCTGCTTCTAACCACTCCTCTTTCCTGCCCGTCGAGGATGTTGAGGCAGGATTTTGAGTGTTTGGGTGTCTCCAGGACAGAGGCTGAAGGCCCACTGTGATTGCAGGCTCATTGAGGGCAGCCTGCATCTGAGCTGGCCTGGGATTAAGGTGGCGAGGCCTTGAGTGAACCAGAGTCGGGTGGGGGTGTTAGCTGTGTGCAGGTCCCATCTTCCCAGCTCGACTGTGAGTCCCTCAAAGGTGGGATCTGCACACGTGTCTCCCTCTGTCTGTCTGGTGCTCAGTGAACAAATGATTGCATAGTGGTGGTGGGCATTCATTTCTTCAGATGATTTTTATCCAGCACCTAATTTATCCAGGGCTCCCTGCGAGGAATTGTGGGGACGTGAAAATGACCAGGAAATGATTCTGCCTGCCAGGACGCTGTAGTCCATGAGGGCAGAAAAGGTGTATTCATTGATAATGTTAATACAAAGCAGGAATTAACACTATGAGCTTCAGAGGAAGGACTGTTGGCCCTGAGAGGAGGGAGGGCCGGGAGCAGGTGGCATTTGGACTGAGCTCTCCTTCTTGGGTAGGATTCACATTGCAGGGACCGGGTCGGGTGGGGACGGCCTTGAGGAGGGGGAAACGGCCTGGGCAAAGGCCTGGAGGCGCAGTGGAGCGAGTGTCCATGCTGGAGAGTGGTGATGGCTTCCTTCCTCCTGGGGCTCCGGGCAGGAGTGTGTCATCTTCTGTGTGCGGGAGGAGCCCGTGCTGTTTCTGCGTGCTGGTGAGGACTTCGTGCCCTACACGCCTCGGGACAAGCAGAACCTTCGCGAGAACCTCCAGGGCCTCGGACCCAGGGTCCGGGCAGAGAGCTTGGAGCTGGCCATCCGGAAAGAGGTGAGGGCTCCTGCTGTGGGTGGAGGCCCCTCCCTGGTAGGCCTCTCCCAGCCGACAGCCCATCTGGCTCTCACCAGCCCACGCTCTCCCATCTTCTGCACTGCTTGGGCGAGTGGCCAGCTGTGAGGCCAGCTCACAGAGGCCGGAGGAAGGACCTCCCAATCCCGGCCCTGTTTGCCTCTGCCCCTTTCCCACCCTGCTTTTCTCCTCCACCTTCAGCATCCTTGCTTAGAAAGGAGTCTGGTGGAGGGAAGAGAGCTAGACTAGGCGTCCCAGGACTGGAGTGCAGTCCTCCGGGAGCTGTGAGGCCTGGGGTGAATCTGTTTCTGAGGTTCTGTCCTCCTCCTCCACAACATGGGGGCTTCTCAAGGTCTCTGAGGCTGTTGACAAGAGATAGAGGTGTGTAAGTGGAGTGTAGGGGTCATGGTGCCCCCAGAGACTCCCTGGGGCAGGACCTGAGGCTGTGTTGCTCACTGGTTGTCTCCCCATCTTCCTCCCAGGCCTCCTCTCTTCTAGCTCCTAGCTCCCCGAGCCTCACCCTGTCCTTCAGTCTGGCAGCTTAGCTAATTCCTGCTGCCCGCTGGGCAGAGCCCTTCCCACCTGGGCCCAGTGGAGACCATATCAGCCTGTGCATAGGTGGCTGCCCTGGGGCCAGTGGCCACCCCAATCCTGTCAGGGCATAGAGAGTGCCTCTGGCCACATGGTACTCCCTGGAGAACAAGCAGCCTACTCCGTGTAGCCTAGTCACTCCAGAGCTCAGCCAGGAAGGTCAGGAGGGACCTGAGGTCAGTCATGGCCCTTTGGCCCCCACACCTCCATCTAGATCCATGACTTTGCCCAGCTGAGTGAGAACACATACCATGTGTACCACAACACCGAGGACCTGCAGGGGGAGCCCCACACTGTGGCCGTCCGGGGTGAGGATGACGTGCATGTGACTGAGGAGGTGTACAAGCGGCCCCTCTTCCTGCAGCCCACCTACAGGTACTGAGGGTCAGTCCTGCTTGGGATTGCCGAATGGCCTGGGGCCGTGTGGGACCCCATGTGCTGGGCCTGCTCTTTAGCTGCAGCCTCAGTTTCACCAGCTGCAGGTTGGGCTGAGTTCCCCACAACCATCTCTCTCATGGGAATGCCAGGGTCGGGGGATGCCCAGGTGTGTGGACTGCGTGATGAACTGTTCCCCTCACCTGGCAGGTACCACCGCCTGCCCCTGCCGGAGCAAGGGGCCCCCCTGGAAGCCCAGTTCGATGCCTTTGTCAGTGTCCTCCGGGTAAGTGGGGGCGGGAGGAGGTGGTGGGAGCTCGGGGTGGGGGCAGGTACCTGGAGAGTGGGTCTGTGTCTAGGCCCTGTCTCCGTGGAGATGCTCGGGGTGGGTGTAGCCTCTGGCTTTCCTCAGGGGAAGGCCTGGTTCTGTGTTGTGTATGGGCTCGAGTGTGTCAGGGGCTGTCTGTGTGGGGTGTGCATACATCTGCCTGTGTATGTGTAGGTTGTGTGTCTGTGTGAGGGTGTGTGCACACATCTGGCTGTGTATGTGTGGGTTGTGTCTGTGTGGGGGTGTGTGCACACATCTGGCTGTGTATTGTGGGTTGTGTGTGTGGGGGTGTGTGCACTCATCTGGCTGTGTATGTGTGGGTTGTGTGTCTGTGTGGGGGTGTGTGCAGACATCTGGCTGTGTTTTGTGGGTTGTGTATCTGTGTGGGTGTGTGTGTGTATGTCTGGCTGTGTTTGTGGTGGTTGTGTCTGTGTGGGGGTGTGTGCACACATCTGGCTGTGTATGTGTGGGTTGTGTGTCTGCATGGGGATGTGTGCACATCTGTCTGTGTATGTGTGGGTTGTGTGTGTCTGTGTGTGTGGGGTGTGCATGTCTGTGTATGTGTGGGTTGTGTGTGGGGGTGTGTGCACACATCTGGCTATGTATGTGTGAGTTGTGTGTCTGTGAGGAGGTGTGTGCACACATCTGGTTGTGTATGTGTGGGTTGTGTGTCTGTGTGGGTGTGTGCACACATCTGGTTGTGTATGTGTGGGTTGTGTGTCTGTGTTGGGGTATGTGAGCACACATCTGGCTGTGTTTGTTTGGGTTGTGTGTCTGTGGGGGGTATGTGAGCACACATCTGGCTGTGTATGTGTGGGTTGTGTCTCTGTGGGGGTGTGTACACACATCTGGCTATGTATGTGTGGGTTGTGTGTGTGCGTATATGTCTGTCTGTGTATGTGTGGGTTGTGTGTGTCTGTGTGAGGGTGTATTTGTACATGTCTGTGTATGTGTGGGTGTGTGTGTGTATGTCTGTGTGTATGTGTGGGTTGTGTGTGTGTGGGGGTGTGTGTACACATCTGTCTGTGTATGTGTGGGTTGTGTGTGTGTGTGTGTCTATGTCTGTGTATGTGTGTGTCTCTGTGCGGGTGTATTTGTGCATGTCTGTCTGTGTATGTGTGGGTTGTGTGTGTCTGTGTGGGGTGTGTTGGTACATTCTCCAAGGAGGGAGCCCAGCACTGACCGTCTGGAGGAGGACCCTGGCCGTGGCTCGGCTGCTAACTTGCTGTGTGATCTTGGACAAATCTCCTATCCTCTGTAGACCTCAAGTTCTCCTTTCTTTGCTGGAGCTAAACATTCTCACCCTCTGACTCTTCAGTGCTATTTCCTGAGACTGATGGTGTTTCCGTCCACGTCCACCCGCTTGGGAGGTCACTTGTTTAATTTGCATCTCACAGGGGGTGTTACAGAGGCCTGTACTCCCTACAGAGGGAGTAGTTCTCCCTTCCAGGGCTTCCCTGAGCTCGCCAGGGCCTGGGAAGGTGGAGCGGATCAGCTGTGGGGTTTGGTGAAAGAGTCTGAGTGGCCCGTCTGGCCCCCCTTGCCTCAGACTGCAGGGCGGGTGTGGCCAATGTCATGACCCCCTCCCCCGACTCAGCCCTCAGCCCAGGGGTTTTGGCTCACACTGTTGCCTGATGTTCACGGTCCTTCCCCAGGAGACCCCCAGCCTGCTGCTGCTCCGTGGTGTCCATGGGCCTCCCCCTGCTCTCCTCTTCAGCTGCCAGACGGGTGTGGGCAGGACCAACCTGGGCATGGTCCTGGCTACCCTCATCCTGTTCCACCACGGCGGGACTGCCTCCAGGCCAGAGTGAGTAGCCTGGGACCCAGTGTCCCAAGGGGCTGTGGGGTTGAGGAGAGGAGGGGTGGGACTGCCCCAGGATGCTGGGGACATGTCAGGAGTCCAGAGCTGGAAATTGGGCACCTGTGGTTCATTTCCTGGTTTGTCACAGACTTGCTGGGTGACCTGGCGAAAGTGTCTTCCTGGGCCTGTTTCCCCCTTGCCTCCCCCAGCGTGATTTGGAAGGGAGACTTGGAGCCTGTAGTCTGGTTCTTCCCAGCAGCCGGATGAGTGGGAGAGAGTTGACAATGGGGCTGTTGTAGAGGCCTCTGGGAGCACTGATTACTGCCCCCTTGTCAGGCCCGTCCCCTCGCAGACCAAGCCACTGCCCATGGAGCAACTCCAGGTGATCCAGAGCTTTCTCCACATGGTGCCCCAGGGAAGGAAGATGGTGGAGGAGGTGAGCAAGGGCTCTGGGCATGGAGCTGGGGCTGGGGGCAGTGGAGGGGCCACTCACTGCTCCCTGGTGGGGTCTCTCCCTCCCAGAACATCCCCATTCTCAGCCAGTCATTTCTCTTTCTCTCGCTCTCTTGCATCTCCCACCGTCTTTCCTGGGCCCTGCTCCCTCCCCACTGCTGTCCCTTCCTCCCTGCCCTGGTCCCTGGCACCAGGTGGACAGAGCCATCGCCGCCTGTGCAGAGTTGCATGACCTGAAGGAAGTAGTCTTGGAAAACCAGAGGAAGCTGGAAGGCGTCCGGCAGGAGACCCCCGCAGAGGTGAGGCCGAGAGCTGCTGCTTTTGCCCGAGCCCTGCAGCTGCACTCGTCAGGCCCCTCACCTGCCTTCGTTCAGACTGACTTTTCCTGGCTGCTGCTTCTCCCATGAGAGAGCGGATTCCAGAGGAAGGGGCGATAGGGGAGCTGGGCCTGCAGGAAGGACGGGGCAGGAAGAGGGAAGTTTACTTTCTGACAGGTCCCCTCATGCAGAATAAACAGGATGGAGGAAGGGGCTGCTGGCGGGGCTGGGAGCGCCTGGATCCAGACACTTCCCAGACTGCTCATGACTCCCTGTGCAAATAAAACCCATGGTGTTTCTTTGGGAAGGCCGGGTTTCATCCAGCCGGCTGCTTCGGGAAGGTGATGGGCTCTGCGCCCTCTCCGCAGGCCTGTCCCCACGTTCCGGGGAGAGGAGCTCAGCTTGACAATGTTTGCACACAGAAAGTGCACGGAAAGAATCTGAAGGCTGCTGTGGCTTTTTCTTCTTTAACACTTAAAAAATATCTTTTAAAAGCAATATTATATTATGGAAAATCGAGAAATTGGACAAGAAAAGAAAATAATCACCTAGAATCCCAGCACAGCTGCTGTGAGCCTTTTGGGCTGGTTTTCTTCCTTTTTCATTTCGTGTTCCTGTGTAGGCTGCCCCAAGCAGAGTTTGCGTCCTGATTATTTCATTTAACCACATCTTCCCTGGGCCGTTGCTGGTCGTCACGGGATTTTACTGGCTGGGTAACTTAAGCCCATTGCGTGGCTCAGCCATCACTGGCCTGGTGGGCTGAGTGGGGGATCTGGCCTGACTGCCTCGGTTCCGGTCCTGGCTCTGCCACCTATGGCTGTGTGGATATGGGCAACCTGCTTAACTGCTCTGTGTCTCAGTTTCCCCACTTGTGAAATGGTGCCACTAATAGCTACCCCATACGGTTGTTGTGAGGAGTGGGTGAGCTAAGATCCATAAGCACTGGGAAGGTGTCCCTGGCATGTCACCTGCCGTGGTTTACTAAACAGGCCCCTCTTGTTGGAGACTTGAGTAGCTTCCAGTTCCTCATCAGTGTAAATACTTTTGCATCGAGCAGCTTCATAAAAATGAGACTTTTGTGCGTTTAGGATTTTTTCCTTTAGTCCAGATGAGGAGTTGGCTGACTATACTTCCTTTCTGGCCTATATGAATCTCACTTGCCCTCCAGAGGGTGGTACTGACCCAGCAGAGAGCCCTGAGGTCTGAAGGCTGAGAGGGACCCTTGAGATTAATCCTCTTTGACAGCCTCCTACCTGGAGGGTGCTGGGCTGGGGGTGGGACACTTGTTTGGGGACCCAGCTCTCTTTGCCATCAGCTATGTGACTTTGAGCAAGTCACTTCCTTTCTCTGAACCTCAGTTTCCCCTCTGTAAAGTAGGAGTAATAATGACAGCCCCCGTGGAGCCCTGTCGTGAGGGTCTTTCTGTTTTCTTGTGGGCGGGTCACAGCTCTTGAGCATTTAGGCCTCTGGCTCCGGGCAGGGTGTTTCTGCACCTGCTGCTCCAGCATGGATTGTGTGCCACCATGCAGGGTGAGTTGGGTTGGCGCAAAGGGCGGAGCCCCAGCCTGCCTCTGGGCATGAGCCTGTGGGGAGGCCGTCCCTGCACCCAGAGCTGTGGTCCTGCTGCTTTCCCTGCACCACGATTACGGCAGCAAATGGGTAGGGTTAGATGCTCGGAGGAACTTCCAGCCAGGCAGACCTGTGTTACGAAGGAGGATTAGATTGTCTTCGGAGGATTTCTGAGGCTTAAGTCCTGCCCTTCCAGGGGTGGGGGTGGGGTGGCCTGAGCAGCCCCATGCTTACTCCCCTCCCCTCCTCCCTGTTGCCCTCCTCTCAGGGAGGTGGCGGCCAGCACGGTGTCCGGCAGAGGGCGCTGCGGAGCCTGGAGCGGTACTTCTACCTGATCCTGTTTAACTACTATCTCCACGAGCAGGTGGGGCCGGGGGTGCGCAGACTCACGCCCCCTTCTCCTGGGGCCCCTGCTGCCCTCCCCACCACCGTGAATGACATGGGGTCCATGGGGACCCCCATGGGCCTGGGGAGAAGGGTGGGGACATGTGTGTTGGTTCTAGAGGAAGGTGGGTGTGGGGGAGACAAGGAGAGACCCAGACAGAAGGGTGGTCTCTGAGCAGGTCAGACAGAGGGAGGCCCCTCCTCTCTCCCTGGGTCACAGTTTCTGTGCCTTAGCCAGGGCATCAGGGCCTGGAAGGATCTCGCTTGGATGTCCTGGGCCTCCCCTGTCTCGGCTATCACGGATGACTCTTGGGCTCCCCCACCAAGGGGCAGGCAAGGAGAGCTTGGGGTGGCCCTGTGCCCCTGAACTTTCCTCTCTCTGCCTCGGGCTGCAGTACCCGCTGGCCTTTGCCCTCAGTTTCAGCCGCTGGCTGTGTGCCCACCCCGAGCTGTACCGCCTGCCTGTGACACTGAGCTCAGCGGGGCCCGTGGTCCTTGGGGACCTCATCACCGAGGGCTCCCTGGTGAGTGGGCTGGCTGTCTGGGGAAGTGTGCACGGGTGCGGGCTGTCCCTGGGGCCAGAGGGCCCTTGATTCCTTTGAGGTCGGGTTAAGCATTGCCCTTACAGGAGGTGAAGGTGCTGTGGCCTGTGGGGTGGTGGGCTCCTCTGAGTGAGACGGGATTGTTATGAGGCCCCAAGAAGCATTTGCAGATGTGGCCGCTGTGCTAGTGCCCTCTCCTCAGTCTCAACCCCAAGTGATCGGGCGGGGAGTCAGAAGCCCTGCTTCTAGTGTCTTTGCCCCTGGTTTCTCATCTTTGAGCCTCAACTTCCTCATCCAGAGAGTGGGTGCCAGTACTCTTCTCCTTGCCAGGGCCGTGATGAAGCTCCAAGTGTGCCAAATGCTTTGTAAACTGTAAAGCGCTGGTCCCGCCCCTCCTCAGCCCACCTTGGGCTGGGTTCTGAACCTCTCAGTGGCTGCTGCGGGTCCCAGGCTTGCTGCTCTCCCCACAGGGAGCCGATGATCTTGTCTCCCCGGATGCCCTCAGCACCGTCAGAGAGATGAATGTGGCGAACTTTCGGCGGGTGCCCCGTATGCCCATCTATGGCATGGCCCAGCCCAGCGCCAAGGTGACCACCCCAGGGGGCCTGGGTCCACTCCTGTGGTGGCGGAGGGGAGGGGAGAGCTCTTTCACCGACAGCCCTCCTGTTCCCCAGGCCCTGGGGAGTATCCTGGCCTACCTGACCGACACCAAGAGGAAGCTGCGGCAGGTCGTTTGGGTCAACCTGAGGGAGGAGGCTGTGCTGGAGTGTGACGGCCACACCCACAGCCTGCGGTGGCCTGGGCCCCCCATGGCTCCTGACCAGCTGGAGGTGAGGCCCTCCTGCCTTCTACACACCCCTCTCTACCTTGGAGGGCTTCTTGGGCGTTGGCCTGGAGGGTCTTCAGGAGGTCTTCTGCCCCTCTTATTCAGCGGGAGCGTCTCTGGGAGTGGCTGAATTGGGACTCCTTCTCTGGCCACCTGCTTGCCTCTGGGTCTCGTTATGACCCTCGGGGCTCGAGAAGGGGCAGGAGTGGGCCCGGAAGCCAGGACTGGGCCTGGCCATAGCTGGCTCTGGTCTTCCAGGGCTGTCCCGGCGGCTCCCTCAGTGGCCTGAGCCATCTGTCGCACCCTCCCCTAGAATCTGGAGACCCAGCTGAAGGCCCACCTGAGCATGCCTCCCTCAGCCACAGAGGGCCCGCGGGCCCACAGGTTCCAGACGTGCCTCACCACGCAGGAGGTCTTCAGCCAGCACCGCGCGGCCTACCCCAGCCTCACCTACCACCGCATCCCCGTGCCAGACTTCTGCGCCCCCCGCGAGGAGGTGAGGGGGCCGGGCAGGCCAGCCCTCTGGGGGGGGGCGGAGGCTCCCCTCACCTCCCCTCTGGCCTGGGCCTCGGCTGTGGGCCTGGCTCAGGGAGGAGAAGACCATCCCGACTGCTCTGAGGGACGCATGGGGAGCTTCTTCTACAAGGTGTCAGACTTGGGGGTTTATCCACATTCCCTCCGAGCTTGGTGTGTGTACATAGGTGTTTATTATGTGTGGTAGGTGTGTGTGGGGGTGAGCATGTCCATAGGGAATGTGTCTGTGGGGGGAATGTGTTTGGAGTGGGTGTGGGTGTTGTGGAGTGTGTAAGTGTGTAACATGTGTATTTTTATGGAGTCTGTGATGTACATCTTGTCTTTACCAGGGGACCTGTGGGGAGTTGTGTGGGGTGGTACATGTATGGGGTTTGTGGAGGAGGGTGTTGTGGAGTGCTTATGTGTGACAAGGGCTTGTCTTTGTGGGTGTTTGTATATAGTCTGTGTGTCTTTAAGGTATGTGGATACATCTGTGTGGAGTGTGTACCTGGCATGTATTGTGTGGGGTCACTGTGTGCCTGTGTGATATGTAGGTTGTGTGGGTGACGTGTCTGTGTGGGTGTGTGTGGGGAGTGTGGTGTGCTCTAAGTGACACAGAGTGACGGCTTGTCACCTGTGTTTCCTGCCTTGCTTTGCCCTGTGGGTCTCGTTCATAGTTTGTCACCCCCCTGGTGGCCGAGAGCGGCAGTGGTCAGTTGAAGTGGGGCCCCTGCCCTCAGGCTGGGACCTGGGTTAGGTCCAGCTCAGGCGGGCAGCAGGGCCGGGGGATCCCTGTGCAGCCCAGGGGCGCAGCACAGGAGAGTGGTGTACACATGTGCGTGTCCTGCCTGGAGGATGGGGGGGCAACAGGAGCCCCAGGTGTGGTCGTGTGTCTGCCCACATCTGGTCCTCGTGCCTGGGGTGGGGGTTATGGCTGTGCATGGGGGTGTGGCTGTTTAGTGAATTGAGTGACCATACGAGGTTGTGAGCCTGGGGACACAAAGCCTGGCAGGGGACAAGCACTCCCAGGGCCGCTGCCAGGGTTGCCATTTGGAGGGGTGGGCCACACTGGCAGCACCCGCTGACTCAGACCTTGGTCTCCCCTCCCAGGATTTTGACCGGCTGCTGGAGGCCCTGCAGGCTGCCCTCGCCAAGGACGCAGGCACGGGCTTTGTATTCAGCTGCCTCAGCGGTCAGGGCCGGACCACGACTGCCATGGTGGTGGCTGTGCTCGCCTTCTGGCACATCCAGGTATGTGTGGCCTGTTGTGTGAGGACAGGGGTCTGCCCAGGCAGGCTGGGCCCTTGGTCCCTGGGGACGCTGCTAGGGCAGGAGGGTGTGGGGGGCAGAGACGGTGCCTGTTGTGCTCCTGGAGCCCCTCCCATCAGTCCTGGGCAGTGGGCAAGTAGGGCTGGCGTAGGGGACAGAGGGACCTCTGTCCCAGCACTGTCCTCCCTCAGGGCTTCCCCGAGGTGGGCGAGGAGGAGCTCGTGAGCGTGCCTGATGCCAAGTTCACCAAGGGCGAGTTTGAGGTGAGCACACCCGGTGGGGTGCCCAGGGGACACCTAGGGGAGGGGAGAGGGCGAGTCTTGCTGGCAGGTCACTGGGGATCATCAGAGCTCTTCTCCATGCTGTCACCTTCTGCCTCCTCATCCTGTCAGTGCTTCCCTGTTCCCATTTCACAGGTGAGCAAACCAAGGCGCACAGGCTCGGCTGTGGGCCCTGGCAGATGGCCATGGGAGAAAGGGGGGCTGGACCCCCGCACCCTGCCTAGCCCTGCTGCTGGGCTGCTGTGTGCCCTGGGGGAGGCCTCTGGCCACCATCTTATCTGGATAACATTGATGACTGCCTCATAGGCACCTGGGACCCAGCTGTGGTTGGTGACCTTCATGTGGGACCTGGCCTGCCCCACCCCATTTCAGTCCAGGGCACTGTATGGACAGCCACCAACATTTCTGATTTAGTCACCCATGTGTCACGTACCTGCCATGCATCATCTTCTCAGACACCCTGCAAGTAGGTGGCAGTGTCCCCATCTCACAGAATGGGAATGTGGAACTCAGAGTGGCTGCCTGGCGTCCGCGTTGTGGTCGGCTCCTGTCTACCTGGCCAACCTCATCAACTGCCCCTCCCCTGCCCTCCCTTCTGTCCTGCCTCCCTGGCCTCCTTGCTGTTCCTCAGACTCACCAAACTCTTTCAGCTTCTGGGCCTTTGCGTGTGCTGCTCCCTTGCCCTGGACCTCTTCTCTCTTCCTTCTCCTGGCTGATTCTCTGCTTCTTTTCTTTTTTCTCTTTTTTATTCTAGTAAACTACATATAACATAAAATTTACCACTTTAACCATTTTTAGGTATACAGTTCAATGGCATTAAGTCCATTCACATTGTTGTGCAACCATCACCACCATCCACCTCCAGAACTTGTTTGTCTTCCGAAACTGGCTGTACCCATTAAACGCTAACTCCCTGTCCTCCACCCCCCACCCCCCAGCCCCTGGTAACCACCGTTGTACGTTCTATCTCTATGAATTTGGCTTCTCTGGGTCCCTCATATTAGTGGAATCGTACAGTATTTGTCCTTTTGTGTCTGGCTCATTTCACTTAGCATAGTGTCTTCGAGGTTCATCCATGTTGTAGCAGGTGTCAGAATTCTCTTCCTTTTTAAGGCTGAATAACATTCCATTGTGTGTACACAGCACATTATGTTTCTCCACTCATCTGTCGATGGACACGGGTTATTTCCACCTCTGGGCTACTGTGAGTAGTGCTGCTGTGAACATGGGTGTGCAAATATCTGTTTGAGTGCCTGCTTGCAATCCCAGAAGTAGACCTGCTGGACCATGTGGTCACTCGGTTTCATTTTGAGGAGCTCCCATACTGGTTTCCACAGCGGCTGCACCGTTTCGCAGTTCTACCAGCAAAGCACGAGGGTTTCAGTTTCTCCACAAGTCCTTGCTGGCACTTGTTTTCTGTTTTTTGACAGTAGTCCTCCTAGTGGGTGTGAAGTGGCATCTGCTTGTGGTTTTGATTTGCATTTCCCTGACGATGAGTGCTGCTGAGCATCTTTTCATGTGCTCACTGGCCATTTGTATGTCTTCTTTGGAGAAATGTCTATTCAAGGTCTTTGCTTATTTTTGATTTGGGTTGTTTTGTTGTTATTGAATTATAGGAATTCTTTATATATTCTGGATATCAATTTCTGATCAGATATGTGATTTGCAAATATTTTCTCCCATTCTGTAGGTTGTCCTTTTACACTGTCGATAGTATCCTTTCAAACAAAAGGTTTTAATTTTTACGTTCAGTTCATCTATCTTTTGTTGCCTGTGCTTTTGATGTCATATTGAAGAAGTCATTGCCAGATGCAATTTCATGAAGCTTTTCCTCTATGTTTTCTTCTAAGAGTTGTACAGGTTTAGCTCTTACATCTGGGTCTTTGATCCATTTTGAGTTAATTCTGCATGGGGATATCCAGTTTTACCAGCACCGTTTGTTGAAATGGGCGTTGTTGAAATGTGGCCCTCGGTATGGGCTGAGCCTATTGCTGGGGCTGGAGGCCCCACCTGCCCCCTTGGTCTTCTCCCTGCTCATCCACCTCCTGTGGCTCCAGGTGGTGATGAAGGTAGTGCAGCTGCTCCCCGATGGGCACCGCGTGAAGAAGGAGGTGGATGCGGCCCTGGACACGGTCAGCGAGACCATGACACCCATGCACTACCACCTGCGGGAAATCATCATCTGCACCTACCGCCAGGTGAGCCCCCGTGCGCAGCCCAGGCCGGGCTGACTGGCTGTGTGGTGGCCCGGGGTCCTGTGGCACCCTCGTTGGTTCTCAGTTACTCCTTCACCTCCCGGAAGTGGAGGTCATCCCTGGAACGGAGACACGCCAGCTTCTGGAGTGCCTGGTGGGGTGTGTGCAGGGGTGATGTTCAGAGTATTTGACAGCTGCTGTCCCAGTCAAGGATGTGGTCAGTCAGAACGAACACCCTGTCTAGACCCTGTGGTGCCAGGCTTTGACCCTCCACTGAGTTTCTGGGCGGTGGGGGCAGGAGTTGGGTGATGGGGGCCCTCTGAGGTCCTGGAGAGCGGCTCTTTAACAGCCTACAGGGAAGCAGCTCAGCGTTTTAGCAGCTGGTGTGGCCTGACTGCCAGCTCAGGACCTATGTATGTCTGCACTGCCCGGGGACTGGGGCTGGCCCCCAGATCGACCTGCTCAGTTAAAAACTGTCTTTGAATGACTCATTAGATTATAAAAATCAGAAGGTTCCCATGAAAGTCCGGATTTCATATAAAAACCTGGATTTTCTACCTATCTAGAAAAAATATGCCCTCCAATTGCTGATGGTCCCCAGGGCTCTGGTCCAGTCATGTGACCCACTGGGCCACTCTGGGTATTGGACTTAGTGGCCTCTGGTCTCTGTGGAGCATGTGACCTGCCTAATTCTGTTCTTCTCTGGCCCAGTGAATTTGATTGGCTGCTGGGACAGAGGAGGGTGCTGGAGTGGGAGGGCGCAGCCGCGGGGGGAGAGGGGAGCTTCAAGAAGGCTGCTACTGAAGTAAGTGTCCCCATGGGGTCAACCTTGTGTTCTCTGCTGTGACCAGCAGTTCCCAATGCCCCTGCAGAGAGGGGGGGCTGCTCCAAGCCAGCCACATGCTCAGCCCGTAGCCGTCTACAAGTAATCCAGGCCAGCCTTTGCTCAGGGTCCTGGATCAGACCATGACTGGGGCAAAGGGTGGGTGCTTGGCTGGAAGCAGGGCATCTAGAGTCAGGCTGTGCCCAAGGTCAGAAGTTAGTTGGAAGGGCAGTTTGCAGAGATTAGGAGGCTGAGTAATGTAGGGTGGGGAAGATGGTTAAGGAGTTTCAGAAAATGAACTTTGCTGAACTTTTGGAAGATAGACCAATTTTCCCAGGGCCAACAGTTAGATCTAGTATCCCCTTTTGAGGTACCTTTGGGTCCCATTCACAGTGGTCTCATATGCTGCCACCAGGTGGCAGCAATGAACTGAAGGACTGAGCTCTTCCCGCTTTCGGAGGGCATTGAGAGGGCAGAGAACTGAGGCTTCCAGTTGTCTCTGTAGCTGGAGGCCCAAGTTGTTGAGAAAGGACCTGGCCCTGCTTCAGAGCACCATAGGTCCCCAGCCCACAATGGCCACGCTGTCAGAGTCCCCTCCCCATCCCCTTCCTTCCAGCCTTGCTAGCTGTTGACTGCCTTCAGGCATTACCTGAAGGTATCCCACCACTACTCCCAAAGCTGATTGTCCCTCCCGGCTCTGCAGCCGTGGATGTCCACTGTGAGGCACCCAGAGAGTAGAGCAGGGAGCATTAAGGGACGTGAGCTGTGGGGAGGGAAGAGAGGTCTCACAGAGCTGGCCTTGAACATCCCAATATAACAAGAGCCAGGGGAAGACATCCTGTCAGGAGGGCCTGCATGGGCAGAGGCCAGGAGGCCGGAAGGTGTAAAGTGAGTTTAGAGGCAGGGAAGGTGATGTGGTGCCATGAACACTGTTGTGTTGGAAGCCGTAGAGATGAAGTCGGGTGGGCAAGTTGGCTGCATGCCGCTGGCAATGGGGAGAGTGGGGGTGTCGTCGGGGCTGTGTCTAGCAGTGGTTATTCTGACTGCCTTTGGGGTGTGGGCTATTTTAATGAGGAGGGAGGAAGCAGAGCCAGTGGAGGACTCTCACCACTCCCCACCAGGCCCACCCACCCCCATTCCAAAGCCCAGGATGGTGCTGACCTCTGCAGTGGGAGGACGGGGATCCCTGACCCCCATCCCTGGGCTCACAGGAGGTGGTAAGGGGTGGGGGGCCTGGTGCAGAAGCAAGATGTAATGCCATTATCATTCCCCAGTATGGCCATCAGGAGGTCCCAGTGAGCTGAGCTGGGGCTGAACTCTTATAGGGACTGAAGAGCAGAGGGACCTGACACCCCCCCCCCGCCCCCCCCATCCAGTCCTTCTCACATGTGCTGCATCATAGATTCACCAGGGAGCTTGGAAGCATACCCGTGCGTGAGCTCCATCCCCAGAGAGTCTGATTTAGCTGGTCTGCTGGGAGGCTAGGGTGTGGGTCTGTTTTTCAAGTCCCCGGTGATTCCAATGTGTAGTCAAGAGTGAGAAGCACATACTCTAAGCAGAATCCCCAACTTCAGTGAGCTTCAGGACCACCTGGAGGGCTGGTCACAATGCAGACTGCTGCCCCCCTTGAGTTTCTGATCCGTAGGTCGAGGTGTCTAACGAGCTCCTGGGTGATGCTGATGCTCCCGGCCGGGCCATGCTGGGGATTCTGCCGCTATAGGGTCTTGTTCTCTCACTCTCTCTTTTTTATAAAACAGCTTTGTTGAGAGTTGTATCTCAACATACCATACAATTCACTTGTTTTCAGTATGCAGTTCAGTGCCTTTTAGTACATGCGCAGAGTTGTGTAGCCATCCCCACCATCAAGTTTAGAGCATCTCATCACCCTAGGAAGAAACTCCAGGCCCATTAGCAGTCAGTCCCCATTGCCGCTTCCTCTGGTCCTAAACAACCACTGGTCTACTTCTGCCTCCATAGATGTGCCTATTCTGGATGTTTCCTGTACATGGAATCATACAATGTTTTGTCCTTTGTGACTGGCTCCTGTCACTTAGCATATTTTCAAGGTTTGTCCACGTTGTAGCGTGTATCAGTGCTTCATTCCCTTTGATGACTGAATCCTATTCTACTGTATGTATATATCATGTTTTGCATATCCGTTCATCGGTTGATGGACTTTTGGGTTGTTTCTACTTTATGACTATTATGAATATAATGCTGCTGTGCACATTTGTGTACAAGTTTTTGTGTGGGCGTGTTTTCATTTCTCTTGGGTCTATTCCCAGGAGTGGAATTGCTGAGTCATATGATAACTCTAGGTTAACCTTTTGAGGAATTGCTGGGCTGTTTCCCAAAGTGGCTGCACCATTTTACATTCCCATCCGCAGTGTACGAGGGTTCCAGTTTCTCCCCACCCTCGCCAGCTCTGGTGATTGTCCTTCTTGATTCCAGCCATCCTACTGAGTGTGAAGTGGTATTTCCTCCTGGTTCTGATTTGCATTTCCCTATGGCTAATGATGTCGAGCATCTTTTTATGAGCTTATTGGCCATTTGTATATCTTCCTTGGAGAACTGTTTGTTCAGACCCTTTACTCATTTTTAAATTGGCTTTTTATCTTTTTATTATTTAGTAGGATTTCTTTATATATTCTAAATATTCATATATGTTCTAGGTACAAGTCTCTCATCAGGTATGTAATTTGTAAAGTTTTTTCCCTGTTCTTTAGGTTGTCTTCATTTTCTTGATGGTGTCCTTGGAAGCTTGTAAGTTTTTAATTTTGATGGTGTCCAACTTATTTTTTCTTTTGTTGCTTGTGCTTTTGGTGTCATGCTTAATCTAAGATTATAGGGATTTACCCCGGTTCTCTTCTGAGAGCTTTATAGTTATAACTCTTACATTTAGTCTTTGATCAATTTTGAGTAAATTTTTATATATGGCATGAGGCAGGGTTTAACGTCATTCTTTTGCATGTAGATGTTCAGTTGCTGCACAATGTTTGTTGGAAAGACGATTCTTTCCCCATTGAATTGTCTTGACACTCTTAAAGAATATCAATTGACTATAAATGTGAAGGTTTTATTTCTGGACTCTTCATATATATATGTATGTATATATGTTCTGAGTTGATGTATTTCTCTAGCCTATGCCAATCTAGACTGTCTTAATTGCTGTAGTTTTGTAGTAAATTTTGAAATTAGGAAGTGTGTGTTCTCCAACTATAATCTTCTTTTCCAGATTTTTTTTTTGGCTTCTGGGTTCCTTTCCTTTCCATGTGAATTTTAGAATCAGCTTGTCAATTTCTGCAAAGAAGCCAGCTGAGATTTTGATAAGAATTGTGTTGAATGTGTATATCGGTTTGGGGAGTGTTGCCATCTTAACAGTAGTCACTCTTCTGATGTGTGAACATGAGATGTCCTTCCATTTATTTAGGTCTTCTTTAATTTCTTACATGATGTTTTATAGTTTCCAGAGTGTAAGTTTTATGCTCTTTTGTTAAATTTATTCCTAAGTCTTATTTTTATACTATTGTAAATAGAATTGATTGCTTTTCTTTTCTTTCTTTTTTTTTTTTTGGGAAAGATTAGCCCTGAGCTAACATCTGCTGCCAATCCTCCTCTTTTTGCTGAGGAAGACTGGCCCTGAGCTAACATCCGTGCCCATCTGCCTCTATTTTATATGTGGGATGCCTGCCACAGCATGGCTTGCCAAGCGGTGCCATGTCTGCACCCAGAATCCGAACCAGTGAACCCCAGGCCACTGAAGCAGAACGTGCGCGCTTAACTGCTGCACCGCCAGGCCAGCCCCTAGAATTGATTTCTTAATTGCATTTTTTACTTTGTTCATTGCTACTGTATAAAAACACAACTGATATTTATATATTGATCTTCTTTCTTGCAACCTTGCTAAACTCACTTATTAGTTCTAGTAGTGTTTTTTTAGTGAATTCCTTGGAATTTTCTATATACAAGATCATGTCATCTGCCAGCAGAGTTTTACTTCTTTCTTTCCAATCTGGATGCCTTTTATTTAATTTTATTGTCTAATTGCTCTGGCAAGATCTTCTGGTACAGTGTTGAATAGAAGTGGCAAGAGCAGATGTCTTTGTCTTGTTCCTGATCTCGGGGGAAAACTTTCAGTCTTTCCCCATTAAGGATGATGCTAACTATGGTTTCATAGATG